AATTAATCCAGATGAATTCACATGTACAACTATCCTATGTTGAATTACCGCAACTAATAAATTATTGAAAAATAAATAACACTTGAAAATTGTTGACAAAGAAAACTCGTAACTGGGTAAAAACTCGGGGTCCAAGCCAGTAAAAAATCACTATAAACGATTCAACTTACAGTACTGTTAGATTCGACTAACTCTAGTACTTTGTGACCTCCTGGCTGTAATCACCAAAGCCCTCCAGAATTGCGTGCTCTTACACTAACTCCTGTTGATTAATGAGAACTCTTCGTTCTCCAACAACTGGAACTTCGAATACATTCCTTGATCTTCGAACTTTTACGATGTTATGGAAGTATGTGTTTTGGTGTTTGATTTATGTGAAGTTGATATTTTTTAATGTTACGAAAAAATCAAATGAAGGTTGAACTAAGAGAATGATATGTAGGAAGTAATCTCTTGTTTCTCTCAATGTTTAACCCCCCTTTTTCGAATGGAGGCGTGGATATATATAGTGTAGAGGATTTGGGCAGTATGGGTTGGATAAAACCTTGAAAAACACCAATTAGATTTTCTCGGGATACACTACTGCTCGAGTGACAAAATTTGGGTAGTATGAAGTTCGACCCAACTAACACCTAGAGGGGGGTGAATAGGTGTTTATGCGGAATTGAAATTTATCAATTAATAAATACAACAAGTTACATTTATTAATTAATCCAGATGAATTCACATGCACAACTATCCTATGTTGAATTATCGCAGTTAATAAATTATTGAAAAATAAATAACACTTGAAAATTGTTGACGGAGAAAATCTGTAACTAGGTAAAAACTCTAGGTCCAAGCCAGTAAAAATCCACTATAAACGAAACAACTTACAGTACTGTCAGATTCTACTAACTCTAATACTTTCTGACCTCCTGATTGTAATCACCAAAGCCCCTTGGATTGCATGCTCTTGCACCAACTCCCGGTCTTCTGAATTCTTCTATTTCCTGTGGATCAATGAGAATTCCTCGTTCTCCAACAACCAAAACTTCGGTCACCTTCCTTGATCTTCAGAATTCTGACAGATGTTATAAAAGTATATGTTTTGGTGTTTGGTTTATGTGAAGTTGATGTTTTTCAATGCTATGAAGAAATCAAAATGAAGGTTGANAGTATATGTTTTGGTGTTTGGTTTATGTGAAGTTGACGTTTTTCAATGATATGAAGAAATCAAAATGAAGGTTGAACTAATAGAATGATATGTAGGAAGTAGTCTCTTGTTTCTCTCAATGTTCAACCCTCCTTTTCGAATGGAGATGTGGGTATATGTAGTACGTATAGGTTTTGGGTAGTATGGGCCAGATAAAACCTTGAAAAACGCTATTTAGGTTTTCTCAGAATACATTGTTGCTCGAGCGATAGCTCAACAACAGGTGAGAGACGGTGTGTCGCTCGAGCGAGGTCCAGGTGACACGATGGCGACGCAGCTTCTGTTTTTACTGCTTGACCGTCGCTGGGCAGTAGGCGAGCGAAATTGCGGCGATTCTTTTCTCCTCGTTCCATACTCGAACCTTAAGACTTCTAGCTCACCTATACAACTTACAATTTGACACTTTGACTTTTAAAAACTCTTTTTCAATAATAGTTTTGTCAAAAGATTGCCAACATGTTTAAAACCTAACACCTTTATTTCCTTATATTTGCACTCTCCTGATTATTTTATTTCCTGCACTTACTGCACTCAAATTTTCCTCTTACGCCTTTTTCTCATAGCTTACATGAATAATTTGAGTCAAATTCTAACAGCATTCATTCTTCTACCTTCACTCAATTCAATCCCTTGGCTAATCTCATTCTAATGATCATGGCATTACACGTCTGTTCAAGCTTTTGCACATACAATCTCTTGGCTAATCTTCCTGAAATAAAAATTGTCCAAACAGACACGATCACGTCATAAATGTTTGTTGTTTGCGTTGGATTTTTTATCACAAGTTACTCTGAACTTATGATTTTAGTATGTATTATATTTCTGGACTTTTTTTTCCCTTTTTTTTGCACGGTTTATTTTTATTCATAAATAATAGAAAATCTGTATGACATTTTTATATCTTAACAATACCTAACAGATAAAAAAAAGGAGGTCTAAAGGTGAGCATATAAAGATTCTTAGCTTACTTGCCTCAGTTCTATATAACCCATTCTCGACAGTATATTAAAGAATAGGTCTGTTAACATACAAACAAACACTAACGGAATGAAATAAGCAAATTCCTCATCGCCCTTGTGGCACAGACATCGTCAACTCATTGGAGATTGAATCTGGTTTATTAGAGGTTGAGGACGATGTCCTAAAAACACGTTTTCTCATTAGAAAAGCCGGTTGTTTAGGAACTGGAAGAACTGTCGTTTCGCCACTAAGCATCAAAACTACATTTGACATGGTAGGGCGATCAATGGGATCTTCTTCCACACACAACAGCCCAACATTTATGCACTTGACAACTTCAGACTTCTCGCAAAATTCAAGCATCATAGGGTCCAGTAAATCTAGTGCCTTGTTTTCACTCCACAATCTCCATGCCTGCAAGAATAGCTTCAAAATATTTTATAAAGTGATCGGCTGAAAAGTTTCATATAAATGGAGGAGTTTATCCACTTACATAACCTAAAAGATTCATCGCTTCTGTGGACTGATAGAATCCCGTATTCCTCTTTCCACTAATTATCTCGAGTACAATAATTCCAAAGCTAAATACATCTGACTTCATCGAGAATAGACCGTCTGACGCATACTCTGGAGACATATAACCGCTAAATCATGATAACAAATATTAGTGTGTATATATATATGTATGTGTGTATAACATTAGATGTCTATATCTATAAGCATAAATAAATAGAAAGTCTTTATTGATATAATTTCACTTGGTACAAAGGAGTTAAATTCTGTACAATACTTTGGACTGGAAAGAAGAAATGGAGACTAGTGACCTTGATAACCGTCTTTAACAAATTAGACAGAAATGCACTTGATGAGTGTGATTTATACACTTATTTTGGCCACAAAAGGTGGGAGGTTGGGTGTAATATTATGAGCTAGATACTTAATTTTGTGCTTGTTGATTATTTTAGGTGAAAACCCGATATTGAATGAGAATGAACGAAAATGAACAACAATTGATCAAAAAGGATCGTAGATGAACTAGAGCCAAACGAGAAATCGAAACTAAGGACTACATTGCAACAACCCGGAAAATTATTGACCCTTGTGATCGCCCAGGTTGAAATTTATTCAGCAGCAAGTAAACATTTAATACCATGCGATCACAGCAATTACAAGTGTGTGATCACACCGTTAGTTGCGAGCCAACAATCTAGATTTTCTAATCCTATTCAACTATTGATTCTTTATCAATTGGGGCTCAATTTTTGACCTAATTTGAGGTCTATAAGTATGATTCATTCATTCCAAAAATAGGGAGATATTAGAGACTCTTGAGATTTGCGACTCTAAATTGGGATTTGAAAGCTTATATTCATCAATTGATCGAGAGAACTACAATTATCAAGCTAGAGGTTGAAGATTCATTGTATTGAACCAATTGATGTTTTTAATCATTATTGTTTAGTTCTGCAATTATGAGTGGCTAAATAATTTGTTGTTAGGATGAAAAATGTAACTT